CTTCATTCTTCCCCTCCTGCTATCTTCTTTTTCTTTTTTCTTAACATATGTTGCATTATTTGTTTCAGAAGTACAGGTCTGTGATTCAACAGACTTACACAATTCACAGCACTCACCATAGCACATACCTTCCCCAATGTCTATCACCCAGCCACCCCATCCCTCCCACCCCCCACCACTCCAGCAACCCTCAGTTTGTTTCCTGAGATTAAGAATTCCTCATATCAGTGAGGTCATATGATACATGTCTTTCTCTAATTGACTTATTTCACTCAGCATAACACCCTCCAGTTCCATCCACGTTGTTGCAAATGGAGCCCCCATAGTTTATAGTTTAAAAGGAAAAGACAAAAGATGGCATTGCTTTCTTGGGTGAATCCAAAAATCCCTCTTTAAAAAAAAATATTCTAAGAGTGTTCAATTACTTTGCCTGTTAAGAACAGTATCTCAGGTGCCCACCTCCAGATACAAGGGATATACAATCCCTATTCTGTGTAATGCTTACAGATAATACAAACCCAAGCACTAAATATAAAGCTGGCTTTGCATTTAAGATTCAAAAGTTGCATTTTAGTTTAGGTTTCAGAAATGTAGCATCCCTGTATAATTAAATATTGTTTCTCTTGGAGTAATAAAAGAATGATAATCTTATTCTGGGAAATTGTGAACAAAATACAATTGACTATCACTGTAATGCTTTTTCAGCAGAAGAGCAAGATGCTATAAAGGTTAAGTTAATTTGGGGCATTACCCACGAGTGTTCAGCTGCTAAGGTATCTGGAGGTCCTCATTACAAATCAGTCTCTCCTGTAAAACTGGCATTGAACGGGAGGGAATTTGAGAACTGGGGAAAGCCTCAGAAATTCCACAAAGAGGGCGCCTGGGTGGTTCAGTCGTTAAGCGTCTGCCTTCGGCTCAGGTCATGATCCTGGGGCCCTGGGATCGAGCCCCACACCGGGCTCCCTGCTCAGCGGGAAGCCTGCTTCTCTCTCTCCCACTCCCCCTGCTTGTGTTCCCTCTCTCACTGTGTCTTTCGCTCTGTCAAATAAATAAAATCTTAAAAAAAAAAAAAATTCCACAGAGTGTGGCACAGCAAAGAAAACAACTAGAAACAAAAGAGAACCATCACATAAGGTTTGCCCTGAGCATTTTACTGAAGAAGAGGATTCTGTTTATACAAATAAATAAGGCTTGACTGTTTTAACATATGTACATATATGGGAGCATTAACTATCCAGATAGATCACAGAGACTGCCATGGCCGGGGGCAAGCGCTTTGTAACTTGAGCAGTGATGTCCAGCCTAGGGACCTCCGTCCCTGGGAAGGAGGAGAAAACCAGCATTGCAGCTCGTAAGAGCAAATGGAGACAGTGGGACGCGGGCGGTCCATGATTGGACTGAGGCCCTGCTCACTTTCGATATCTATAGAGCCTTCATAAAATGAAGTAAGCCCTTATTGGATTTCTTGCCTCTTTGATTATTCTCCCTGAAGACTCAGTATATTTGCTTTCTTTCTACATGTTTTCATCTTTCGTTAAAATAACATATGAAAAGACCTCTTTGAAAGCTCGATCAGAGTACACCCAACAGAAAATCCCCTGAAAGAGGTTGGATTTTTCTCTTATAGAATTATAAATGCCTTAAAGGAGGAGCATGACATTGAAGGCCCACCAGAGCACCTCTGCGGTCACCCAGGGTCCCGCAGCTTCTTGTCAAGGCGCTGAGCGGGAGAGAAGTAGGTTTGGACTCCCACCGGGGCCGGGTGGCCCCCCCCCAGCACCGCCCTCCGCAGGTGGCACAGACCACACACAGCCAGCAGCAGGGGCCACGCCAGGATGGCCTCCAGTTAGGAAAGCAGGGATCCCACGAAAGAAAAAGAAATGACTGGGCTTTTATGCTTTCTTCTTTGTTCAGCTTGGCTGAGCGTACGATGTAGAATCTTCGTATCCGGACCGAAACCACCACTGATGCCTTCATTTCAGCCTAAGAGCAGGTGTCCTGGCCTGTCTATTGCTCTCCGCTCCCTCTCGCTCACATTCAGTGCACAGATCACTGTTCTTTCCTCTGCTGCCACCATTCTCCTCAAGCTGCTCTTAATAACATCAGCAGCACATTTCTCTAGTTGCTAAAGCCAGCGGTTTCACCCAGAAGACCCAATAAAAATAGCAGCCGCTACGTGTGCCAGCCACGGTGCTGGGCTTTGATTGTTTGGCCCTTTTTCGGTCCTCAGGGCCCCGGGCTCCGCCCCCACCTTCTAAGGAATCTGCCCCTTGACCTCGGCAACAGGGCGCTCAGCCTTCTTCCAGCTCTGTTTCAGCCACAGTGAGACAGGGGCTTCCTTGCCCTCTTCTTGTTCACTCCTTGAGCCGCCTCATCTGCTCCCATCTCCTCAGGCACCCCCTCAATACGGATGGATTCCCAGGTCAGATTCTTATTTTGCATTTCCTGCTGGACATTGCCACCTGATTATCGAACTGAGCATGCGCGGGAGGATTTCATGCACCCGCCTGTTCCCCTGTAGTATCCGCTTATCTCAGGAATGGCCTCTTCATCCGTGAGTGCTCTCACTCACTCATCTTCCATGGTACATGGGTTAGCAGAGCCACTTGAGAGTCCCCCTCATCGGAGTTAAGGTTCCCTCTCCCTGATTGTGCCTCTGCCTCAGCCGGGGGGCTTAGGGTCTCCCTTCAGCCTCAGCTGTCCCAGTGCTTCCAATCACCAGCATTGTCTTTCTGCCACCCATGCTCTACTTAAAAACTTCCAGGGGATTCTAACGGCAGAGTAAGTCACAATCTTCCAAACCTACTGTACCAGCCTCATCTTCCACCAATTACCCAAACCCACCATATTATTTCTCATTTCGTGTATATGTTGATTCTTCTGCTAAAACAGCCTCTTTTGTCTTCTTTTGGCACCTGGAAAATCCCTGTTCATCTTTTAAGAGACAGCTCAGTCAGCCCCAGCAGGCAAACAGTGCTTGGTGATTGAGTAATGAAGGCTTGCCCCACTCTCTCCTGCGAAGTGAGGCTCTCTCTGCTCAGTACTCTGGAGGCCTTCTGCTCCTATCACTGGTGCAATAGCATTCGTATTGTAGCTTCTCTTTGTGGTGTGTAGCTCCTGTGCTGTCTCTTCCTCTCCCTGCCCCACACAGACGTTCTCAACCCTCTTTCCCACTGAGCCCAGGTATGAGGCTCAGAGTGTTCTCAACACAGCCCTTGGGACAGCCACTTTCCATAGACTGTAGTTTGCACATCACCTGAGGTCTGTTTGACATGCCCTGAAGTAGACTCAGTTTTCCCAACACAGTGGGCTGCCTACCATAACCACTCAATTGCTGAATGGATAACAAATGGTTTTACTGTCTCTCTTTTTGGATTTTTCTTAATACTAAATGAAATGTTGATATTTTAATCTTATGTTAGCTATATATTGTTTCATGGTATAGATAGATCCTTCTGATAGAATGTATTCATGGCAAGAAATGAGCGAGGTAATTTGTTGAAATCCATTGTTACTCTTTACAAAGAGTTCCTCACACACACATTCAGTTCACCAAGCCACTGCCCATGCCAGCCGTGGCCCGCTCTCTGTACAGAGCTCAGCCCAGGATTTTGCCTTAAAATCCATATACTGAGTGTTGTTTTTTCTAGCTTTATCTTTGATTTATCTTGTACACTTTTTTAAAAAAAGATTTATGTATTTATTTGAGAGAGAAAGAAGGAGCAAGGGGAGTGACAGAGGGAGAGGGAGAAGCAGACTCCCTGCTGAGTAGGGAGTCCAACTCAGGGCTCGATCCCAGGACTCTGGGATCATGACCTGAGTGGAAGGCAGACGCTTAACTGAGCCACCCAGGCACCCCTGTCTTGTACACTTTTAAGAGTTGGTTGGAGGGGCGCCTGGGTGGCTCAGTCGTTAAGCGTCTGCCTTCGGCTCAGGTCATGATCCCGGGGTCCTGGGATCAGTCCCCACATCGGGCTCCCTGCTCCACGAGAAGCCTGCTTCTCCTTCTCCCACTCCCCCTGCTTGTGTTCCCTCTCTCACTATGTCTCTCTCTGTCAGGTAAATAAATAAAATCTTTAAAAAAAAAAGAGTTGGTTGGATAACGCATTAAAAAGATAAAAGTATCTAAATTGCTTTGACAGGGTGCCTGGGTGGCTCAGTCGGTTAAGCGTCTGCCTTCGGCTCGGGGCATGATCCCAGGGTCCTGGGATGGAGTCCCGCATCGGGCTCCCTGCTCAGTGGGAAGCCTGCTTCTCCCTTTGCCCCTCCCCCTGCACTCATGCTCTCTCTCTCTCTCTCACAAAAATAAATAAATAAAAATCTTTAAAATAAATAAATCTCTGGCAATCACAAAAGAAAACTAGCAAGTCTGGGTAATTTAAAACTAGTTAAAAAGCACTTCAGGAGAGCAGCTATTTTCTATACTGTATGAAACATTTAATAAATACTAAATAGTAACACTGATCCATCCCCTCTACCTTTGAAACAGGTGTAGTAGCTATCCAAAAGATGTGTCAAAACAATCAGGAGAACATGAAACACCTTTTCCATGGCTCAAGTGAAAGATGTAACATAATTATTACTTTTAAGTTCAGTGAGTTTCATTCACCCTATCCAACTAAAAGCCTTCTTTAATTCTGGTCACATTTCGGAATTTAAAAATGGAAAATTGGGTAATATTTCCCCCCAATTCCCTTACTAGCCATAAGGTGGTGCTTATGCGTGGTGCTGCAGTGGAAGGTTCTGGTGTGTCAGGCATGAGGCAGTGCGGCGCAGCGAACAGTGATGAGGGGACAGGAAGGGAGAGACAGGGTCTGAAAAGCCCACAGCCGTGCCTACAAGAGCAGTTGCGCTGCATCCGATTTACCTGTAAAGCCTGTTCTCCATGTACCGTCTCAGGACTCTGTGCTGTTGGTGAATTATTGAAATGGTTTCCTCACCTTTTTATGTGCTTTCTCTCCCCTTTTGTTCCCACCTGTCTTCTCTGGAAAATCCATCAGGCTAACTGTCAGGTAGGTTCTTCTTGATGTTTAATGTGATTATTAGGAGGAACCGTGGTGGGAAATGAAGTAAACAGACTATGGGTGACCTGTGATGAATGATCAAACTAAACAGAAAAGGCACATCCTCAATTGTGGAGAAACTTTTTGCAGATGCATAAAACTCCCGAGGCTGCAGACTCGCAGCACATGAAGCCGGTGGGAACACGTATCATACATAAGAACTAAGGAAATCTAGCGGCTCTAAATGATTACGTAGGTTACCTGGACCATCCGGTTTTGCTTTGGCTCAAAATACGGGCTGTTCTGGAGAGCTTCATTGTGGTAGGGTGGTATTCCATCCTGCATAGTCACCAGCCGTGGTGCTGCAAATACGTCAGCTCGTAGGGATTTGGCCAGGTTCAAGTAAAATTCACAATGATGTGTTTAAATCCCTCTTTTAACTACATGATTCAGACATACATCATGCCTTAAAGAAAGAGTGACTGGGAGAAAGGGGGAGTGGTGGCGTATGTTTTAATGCCAAACTCACCCTTGGCGTTAACTCTGACATGGTTTAACTCCAAAGAACTGTTGCTTGAAATCGCAGTAGGAAACAGAGCTGTTCATTTCTCCCTTTGGTGTCAGCGAAAAGGAGTATTCCTTCACCCACGGGAAGCGGCAGAACAAGCTCTTTTTAGATTCTCAAGTGCAAGACAGACACTTTAGAAGCCCAAACCGTAGCCGAGCCCAAGAGGAGACATACATTTAAATGAGTGTGTTTGGAGTGTGTGTGTGTGTGTGTGTGTTGTTTTTAAGTTGGGCTCATTTTTATCTTTCAAGAGGAGAAATTATGTGCTTCCGTTGCCACGCAACACAGACTGCTCTAACAGCTTTCTCATTTTAATTTCAGAAGTCTACAGAGCAAATGAAGAAGGTCCCCACTATAATTCTTTCAGTCTCTTATAAAGGAGTCAAATTTATTGATGCAACAAATAAGGTGAGTACTGCACTTCTCTTTGGTTTAGACACCAGATACACTCCTGGGCATATGATCTAAAATCCTTTGCTCCCATCATGCCCGGCATCTCCCATTTTATTCACGTCCTGCCCCCCACCTTTCTGCTCCCTGAACACAACTGTAGGTGCGCATGCGTGCACACACACACACACACACTCACTCTCTCTCTCTCTCTCTCACTCATACACAGAAGGGCACATCGCATCAGAGAGATTTCATCTAGGATTCCTACACATGTTTTGCTTTTTCTGTGGTGCCTTCTCTAATAGACTGTGGCCACTTAGTACCTGGCGTTTCCCTTTGGATCTAGAGAACATTACAACAGGAAAAAAAAAAAAAAAGTCACATTATGTAATGAAAATGCAGCAATGTCATCGTTCCTCCGTCAGAGGAAGATGTTACTGGCCAAAGGACTAGGACATTTGTCTTCCCATTTCTCTAGAGATATATACGTCCTTTCTTTGGATACACGTAGTGAACACCCGACGCAAGGAACACGTTCTCTGACTTTTATATTTTATAATTGCGTTTATTCTCAGCTGTTGAGATGGAGGAGAGGATTTCAACTGTATTGTTTTCTTAAGAGGCACAATCAGAAAAGAGGCTCAAGCCACAGTATGACTTCGCTGTGACGTCGTACTCACAGTGGAAACAGCTCGTGAGCTCGGAGGTCGAGTGGGAACAACCGGGTTGCATTTTACTTAGGTGTTCTAGAGTTCCTTTCCTGATGAAGATGACCGAGCGCCAGGGCGAGACTAGAACGCTTGGGTGTAACCACTAGTCACTCTCCATAAACAACCAAACCTGACCAGCTCCTCCTCACAGAACCCCCAGATGTCCATGTGTTTTATTCCTGTATCTTCCCAACTGATAAACTGTAGAAAGATCCCCATTGGTGAATACCATTTATTTTCTGGACCCCCCTACCCGGTTCCCCTACTTGTACAAAGGGCATCAAAGTCATGAAACAGGTGAACTAAACAGTAGTAACTTGGGGCCGGGGCAACAAGATTTAGAGACCAAGGGGGAGTCCCATGGGCAGTGACTCTTGGGAGGCTATAATAACCTGAGCATCTGAATCAACCAATTCGGAGGTTTCCTGATTTGTCTAGTAGAACAAAGAAGATTGCTGTAAGCGCAGTCAGACAAGCCCAGGCTCCCTGGATCTACTTAGGAGAACAACCTCCCAGTTTTAGAAACAGTTCTGAAACCTGAGCAGAAAGCTTATAACCCTGCACAATTATGCAGGCTGATGATCTCCAAAGCACAGAGTCAGATGCCTTATGTGAAAAGATAGTTTCAAGCCGGCAATATGGTATTGACCATTACTGTTGTGGGATTACAACTGTGGAGATTCTCATCAGAAAAATCCTGATTGATTTGCTTTTTTATTAGTTGGAAGCAACTTTTAGTTACTGGTGCACAAACTTTTCTTTATCCTTAAATTATAGTCAGTTGGTTTTTAAAGTTTCAGAACCTAATGTAACTCTCATTGACAACACCATAGCTATCACTATTTTCTAAGGTTCAAGAAAGGCTTTGGCATTTGGGTTTCTTCCCTAACCTGGAGCAACTCTGTATCCATTTGCATTTGAAAACCATGAAAAGCAATATATTTCTAGTATAAGAGTTTGACATTCCCTTAGATTAACAACCTCAGCAGTCTTGGATTCTGACAATTTCTAAACAAGTGGTATTTACCTTGAAAAGTTCCCAGAGTCTTAAGGCTGTCATTCTGTGAAGCTGGTGGTGTGACTGGATGCGTCTGTATTATTAGCATCCTCTCGAATCCGCTCTCCATGATCAGAGGAATGAGAGAGCTCTGTCCAGTCCTTTGCATTTGGCTTACAGACACATCAAGGGCTATAGAACCTGATCCTCCCATACCTTGAGGAGACACTTCTGCTTCAGTCGCCAATAATTAGATGAGCATCCATGAATGCCTGCTCACCCATGACTATTCTATGGAAGTCTGAGCACTGAACAATACACAAAGGTAATCCTGTGTGAATAAAAACACTAAAGAAGGACAGCATATCTTTTAAGTTCTTGGAGTGTGGTCCTCAGCGAATTTTCAGAATCTAGAGCAAAGGCAAAGTGCCTGTGTTGGTGGCGGAAAGCCACCCTCCCTCTGACATATGCCTGGAGGCTTTTTCAGGAATCTGGGAACATTGACTTCCACACTGACAAGTGTACAGTGTCCCCATCCCAGTGTCCTGCAATGTGGCCGATCTAGCCCGATCGAATAGTGCATAGGGAGGGAGTGGGTGACTCAGGGCCACAGTCTGGCCGTTGGTGTGTGAGAAGCCAAGGCAGAGAGATTGGATTAGAGCAGTAGAAGAAAGTGCTGGGCCACACTGGTGGGGTTTGACAGCAGAAGGCTGAGAAGCACCACCACCAGCCAGGGCTGAAGGACTGGTTCCAAAAGGGCTCGAGGAGGCATTGTTGAAGGGCCGTTCTCAGGCCGTGTTGGGAGGGGAGCTGCGCTCAGACAGCTAGGCCCCCGCAGTGTCTGCCTTGCACCTTCACAGGCCGCCTGGTTCTGTAGCAAAGGCCGACCCCGGACTGGTGCTCACCCCCCGGGAGAGGAGCACAGAGGTAACCTCCAGAGCCCTGCTTTCGGTTTGCCCCACGGACCTCTCCCCTGGGAGGTGCTGTCTGGGTGGGCGGCTTTGGCTGGAAGGACTTGTGAGGCGGACACCTATTTGAAGACCTCACAAGGTGAGGTGCTAGAGGCCACCAAGCCTGTGATGAGGCACAGCCAAAAGTCATACCTTCGCACCCATATCTGATGCTTTCACTGCGCTTTCTTCCTCAGCGGCCCCCTCCCAGTCACTGCATGGCTTGCTCGCTCGCTCTCTAGCTCGGAGAGCTGGGCGTGCAGGGCGTGGAGCGGGGCAGAAACAGAAGGCCTCCGGCCTCTGCTAAGTGACTGCCCTGCAGTCCTGCAGCCAGCTGGTCACAGGGACAGGCTGAAACTTGACCTGACCTCCCCAGCCCCTAACCTAACTCATCTGCTGTCCTTCCATGGCCAGCACCGCCGGTTAGTGGGCAGGGTGCTGCTCTAACATTTCTCTGGCCCCCGCTAGCCCGCTAGCCCGGGGAAGACGAGCCCTCCGGCAAAGCACTGCTTTCCTTTCCCTCTATGAATACGGGACTTCGGCTGCTCCACGGGGAAGGGTTAGGTGCCTGGATAGAAACTTGTAAACCTCTCGCCCACAAACTTAGGAAACAAATCGAACCACTGATCCTGATTTAAGAAGGGAGAGCCGAAAATAGTCTTGAATTAAAAATGGAACTTGGAATAGACCTGGTCCTAAAATGTCGATAAAGCACATCACCTTTCTGTAGATTCACAGCCCAGAGAGAACTCTAGTGAGGCATTTGGCCCAGAGGTCTCTGACAGTTTGCTTACGGCCCTGTCTTCAGACCAGTGGGGTCTTGTAAGAGGTGACACAGTCCCCACATCCAGTGCTTGGCTGAGAGTGGGTTGCATTTTACCTTCCCGCCCTGACCCCCTCCTCAGTCTTCCCATCCAGCTAAATTAGGAACAGTGCAGTGCTGGGGTTTGGTTTTTGTTTGTTTGCTTTTTGAATGCCAACTTCAAACAGGGCTTATGCTGTTTTTTTAAGCACAAAATAATTCAGAACATTTGCTTAAACAAGTGCTCTTTTTTTTTTTTTTCATAGCACATACTTCTTCTAAAAAGCTCAGAGTCAAATTAAGAGCCCATTAAGCATGTGTGCTGTTCTCATCTGCATCAGCCTCTCTACGGGTCACCTCCTGGCAGCCCTCAGCTGGGGCTGTTGCCTCTGTTTCGGACACTTTCTCTGAAGGGGCATTGCACTCTCCTGGAGAAGGTCCAGCCTGAGGAGGAGACTCAGGAGAAGGGCCCTGCCTGTCGGAGCCAGGAGTGAGGGAAACAGGGAGAGGCTGACTCCTAGGCCCCATCACTCTGCATCACACACCCTTCTGAGAACCTCTCTATTAACTGGCTGGACCAAACACTTCTGTTCTGCACCACCAGCCAGGCACCTGTTTAGCTGTTTCTCAACATGATGAAAGGCAACAGACAAGAAAAAACAGTCTTTCCCTATTGCAGAGTACCGAGCTGCCAAACTTTCTATCCCAAAGAAGGGGCAGCGTGAGTCCCTCCTCACTCTTCCTTCTGAGCCTTTAAAAAGCTCTAGTCTCCTTAGAACGTGCTTAGATATGGAGGCTGAGCAACAGAAGGGGGGTCCATTTTAAACAGAGATGCATCACCTGTACCTTATGTTGACATCCACTGTTAATTTATGGAGGAGCCACTAACTGATGTGTGGCAGGGGCTGGAAAGAATGCGTCCCTCCTTGACATCTTCTCCAAGGAGGAAACCAACCATCCAGTCTCCAGCCGTAGTGTCCTTGGTCTCGGATACACCTTCCACATGGAGAGCTGGCCTCACTGTTCTGTAAAGATAGATGGTGCGGGGTGATGGCAGTGTTTCAATAGTGCGACCTCGGGGCTTCACCACATTCCAGCCCCACAGATAGATCAGGAAGCTCTGTTCAGAAATACCTACCTACATAAGCTATCAATATGAATTCACTTAACAGCATATTTTTAAAGTGCCAGTTAGGATGATTAAACATCATTTATTCTTAACTGAACATAGACTACATTTGTTAGCCTGCCTTCCCTCTAGACCAGGCAACAGAGGAATACAATTTTCAGTAGTGGGAGGGGAGGCTGATTTGGAAACATGGAGCAACACAGAGGAGGGCAGGCCTTGGTGGGCAACTAAAAGACAGCCCTGGGTTCCTGGGGAATAGAGAAGTGGGAGGTTCCAGAAAATTGGGGGAAGGGCAAGAAAGACACAGGAAGAATGTCTTAGTCCGTTTTGGGCTGCCCATAACAAATTACCAGACTGGGTGGCTTAAATAATAAGCATTTATTTCTCACAGTCCTGGAGGCTGGGAAGTCCAAGATCAAGTCACCAACAGATTCAGTGTCTGATGAGAGCCCATTCCCAGGCTCATAGATGGCATCTTCCTGCTGTGAGAGCTTCCTAGGTCTCCCTTCTCTTGTAAGAGCACTAATTCCATCATGAGGGCCCCACGCTCAGGACCTGATCACTTCTCAAAGGCCCCGCCTCCAAATACTATCACATCAGGGCTTAGGATTTCGGGCTTCCTAAGATTTCAAGATATGAATTTGAAGAGGACACAGACATGCAGTCCATAATAAAGAGAGATCTTCAAAGATATACTTTGCCTACTTTATAGTTTTGCCCGGGGCCATGATGCTGTCACATGCCATTGAAGATCGCTGAGAAAGTGGCATCTTGTGAATTGGCAAGATTCGGGGAATTTGGTGCAATAAAAATCACAGGGCATTTTCCACTGCAATACTTTCCCAAGAAGTTGATCTTCCAATCTACTGTATGCTAGTAAAAGATCTCAGGAACACAAAATGCCAATTTAGTTAAAAAAATTTGGAGCCAATGCTCTATTTCTGATGACAACGGATCTTGGATACGTGACACCAAAGCCACACTCCCAGAGGTAATGGCAGCCCCCAATTAACATGACAGCAGAGGCTCTCAGCACTTGCTAACATCATCCCTGTGAAGACTGTAGATTCTTAAGTTCATTTTAAGACTCACTCGTTCCTAATTTAGTTTTCTACTTGAAGAAATGCTATCTGAATGCCAGAAGAAGATCAAGACCTTCTATTTCGAAACTGTATCTTGCAATAGAATGTTACTTGTTTATGGGATTCCAATTTCAAATTGAGTTATTTTTGACAGTGTGCTGCATGTCGTGTCAAAATACAGGGCCACAGTGAAGAATGTCTTAATTTAATTTTCTTTTATGTGTTAATTCTGTAATTGCTTCCCAACCACACAGCTCAGTAGAGCGAGGGACATGAAGTACTTGCTGGGGTGCTGGCAGGGAAGGACATTTTGTAAGCATTTTTAGGCATTGATGGGCATACATGGAACATTTTATGGCCAACAGGTTATTTAAGACTGTGCAGTTAAAAAGTAATTAGCATAACTAACATACTGAAGGTTTTAGCTCTCTGACAACTGCAAAAAAAACATAAATGGGATACTCTAAGATAAAAAACGATTGCACAATTATGTGAATTTTTTTTCTTTTTAAAAATATCTGTGTATCAAAAAATTTCTAGCAGGGTTTGCAGCCAACACAATGCTCCTTGGTTATTTTGTGCTTCAGAATCATGGTACTTAAACCTTTCTTCACTTACCTCTCACCAGTTACTCTTAGAGGCACATTGGGATGAGGGGGCTGGCAGTGAGATGGCATGAAGAAATGCTAGAGAGAAAAAAATGAAATTATGTTAAACCGGTGAGAGGGAGGTGGGGATGAGGGGCCCTGCAGTGTATGAAAGAGCCTGAGCTCCAGAGTCTGACAGCCTTACATTTTAGTCCTAGCTCTGCCACCTGCCCTGCATAAAGCCTTTACACTGAGTACCATTCCCCGCCCCATAACATGATAATGATAACCACAGCACCCACTCATAATTCTACACGGTGGGTGTAGCTAGTAAGGTGTTGTCATCCATGGGGCCCTGCATCAAGCCAGGCATCCAAGACCTGAATAATGCAGAGTGGTTGTCTCCCTCATACCACCTCTACACCTCAGCCTCCACAGAGTCTTTAAGAGAGAGCACCTTGAACTGCTGGTGAGGATGCAAACTGGTACAAAACAGTATGGAGTTTCCTCAAAAAATTAAAAAATAGAACTACCATATGACCCACTAATTCCACTACTGGGTATTTAGCCAAAGAAAACAAAACACTAATTCAAAGGGATATATGCACCCCTATGTTTATAGCAGCATTATTTACAATAGCCAAGATAAGGAAGCAACCTAAGCGTCCATCAATAGATGAATGGATAAGGAAGATGTGTGTGTGTAGACACACACACACACACACACACACACACACACAATCTACAATGGAATGTTGTTACACAGCCATAAAAAGGATGAGATCTTGTCATTTGCAACAACACAGATGGACCTAGAGGGTATTATGCTAAGTGAAGTAAGATCAAAAAGGACAAATACCATAGGATTTCACTCATATGGAACTTAAAAAAATAAATGAATAAACAAAAAGCAGAATCAGACTTATAAATACAGAGAACAAACTGAGGGTTACCAGAGGGAAGGGGATGGGAGGATGGTGAAACAGGCGAAGGGGAGTGGGAGATACAGGCTTCCAGTTAGTAGGTTATGGGAATAAAATGTGCATAATAGGGAATGTAGTCAGTGACACTGTAACAGCGTTGTATGGTGACAGATGGTAGCTACGCTTGTGGGGAGCCTAGCAGAACATATAGAGAAGTTGAACCACTGTATTGTACACCTGAAACTAATGTAACATTAAGTGTCAACTATCCTTTAAAAAATGTTTTAAAGAGAGAGCACCTTGATGCTTCAACCTGCCCACTTTCTTCTATACTTGCCTTTGATCCAGGGCAATGGCGGGGTGGGGGGGGGCACAGGAAGTGAGCAGCAAGATGGGGAAGGTTTTAGAGAGCTCCTTGGGACAGTTTCTTCCAGCATGCAGAATGTGGCAGGTAATGCTTTCCAGACAGAATTAGCAGGAGGTAGCCCTACCTATCTATAGGTGTATATGGAGAATGAAAACCATAAAATGCTTAGTAACTACTATGTTTTTAAAAAGCGTGTCTGCCACCCAGAGTGCTTCTGCTCACAGCACCTGGTGAGAACCACTGCTGCAGGATATGACATTAGGTTGTTTTTAATTAAATGAAAACATTCCTTCCAGACCTGGTGTACATTTGCCCACAGATTGTGTGTTGGATCACTCTGAATGTTGCTGGTCTAGAACATTCTAGAAAGAGGGGAAGGCAGCTGATTCCCAAGTCATTTGCCTTAATTCTAAAATATGCTGGTTTGCAAAGGAAAACAATTGTCATTTATTTCATTTATTCCAGAACATAATTGCTGAGCATGAAATTCGTAATATCTCCTGTGCTGCCCAGGACCCGGAAGACCTCTCAACATTTGCTTATATCACAAAAGATTTGAAGTCCAATCACCACTACTGTCACGTGTTTACTGCCTTTGATGTGGTGAGTACTGTCTTTGGACAGATAAAGTATTTCTCCAAATGTACCTGCAGTTTGTTGAAAACTCAACTTGCAGTTAAGATATTTGGCTTGTTTATCAAGTGTTAAGGTATGCCTAATGTGTAGGATATTTTGCAGACTCCGTTTTTCTGAGCTTTTTCTATATTGTCACTCATCCATTAAATTTAGAACTCTGCTTCTACTTGGTATCCAAACTGCTATTGCTCAACTACTAACTTCACTTTTCAGATTTGACAAATCCCTTTCTTTCTTTGGCACCAAAGTATAGTAATGCCTGTTGGTTTCTTTGGTGGCCATTTCTAAACAGTAGGGCATAGTCGTCTAGGTTTGTTGGGAAGAAAAATAATTTCAGTGCCTCATACGTTATTTGTGGCCTTCTGTATTGAAAAGTAGTCAAACAAATTAGATACCTACAGATAATAATTGGGAACACCAAGGTTTGATCTATTTGCTTATTCAGAAGTTAGTCTTATAATGACATACTTATGATATTACACCACTTATGGTCCTGTTTGTCATTAGTCTAAATATTAGCCCTTTATTACAGACTTGAGAAATGAAAGCAATTCTAGATAACAAGTGTTCCTTGAAGATAGATAGATATCCTCAATGTGGTACAAATTCTCGAGGATATCTCTAATACAGTACATTGGGCATTCTGTGTTTGAAGCAGACAGAACAGATATGGCTGCAACCATGAAATAATTTGTAATCAGAAGAATTATTAAAATGTCACTTTAATTTCACAGTACTGCTCTGTCCAGTGTGTTTGAAATATACATATTTAAAGAATTACACAGTAAGTGCAATATAATGTATTCTTGGAAGGCCAGCCCACAGTTCAGTGTCATGGGTGAAACTTCTTGGAGCAGTCTTTGTCAGCTCTGGCTAACCCAAGGACCAAAGACTCCCATAGTCCAAAATACACATCATTCTACGGTATATTAGGCTCATGCCCAGAGCATTTGCATCATGCTACAGGTGGCTCATCTCTTTCAGTTTTTGGAGAATAAAAACAGGAAAGAACAATCATGTGCCTTTAAAAAAATCCTTTCTATTTTGGGAGGTATGTGGAAAATAATATAAAAGTGGTATGTGGTAACAGTAAGAACTACAAAGCAAAGCCCTCGAAGGCTGCTCCGAATATCTGGTTGTGTCTGTTTGCATGAGATCAATGGTGCTGATTAAAGTCATTTCAGCGTTAGGTTTCTGGTGCCTTACACATAACTAACCATTCTTGTGAAATGCCGTTGTTTCTGTAAAAAAAATTCCATTCTCTCCACACGCATTTTGGTTTGCACGAAGCACTTTGTACTGAGGCAGTTGGATTAGTGTTATAGAGAGAACAGGCAGATGAGAGTTCACACCCCAGCTCTGCTTCCTGCGCCCTGGTCTCAGACAAGTTGCAGGACTTTTCTGAGTCTTGACTTCCTTTGTCTTTAAACCAGGTACAGGGATGTGTGCCTCACGGGTTTTCAGCAGGATTGAAATGAAGGGACATGTGGCAAATGCCTCACCAGTAACAGGTGTTCCATGTTAGCTCCTTTCCCACCACTTCCCTCCCCTTGCCTACCGACATCACAGTTGACAGCCCGGTGCCCTTCCTGCTAAAAGACATAAAATAGATCTGTCACAGTGTGTTTATGATCCAGAGTTTTCCCACTGCTCTTGTAAAAGAACTGAAAAAAATATATATAGAAGCAATAAATAAATAAATAAATAAATAAATAAAATAGAAACAAGAGAAAGAAAATATCGACTCTGCAGGCCTTAGAATGGTATATTGCCTCCGTACCGTGTTTGCACTGAATGTCAGCATTAATATTGTGGTCGCCTTCAGGATGAATTCCAGCCTTTCATTGACTACTGCAGCCTTTCTTTCTAAATTGGTTTTTAAAGTAATATATAATTGGCCTTTATGATCATACCCCAAACATTGTCCTGTATTCAAACTAAAAATGATTCCTATGGGCCATTGGCCCCCTTGAGTTTTGAGCAATGTGTGTGTGATGCCAGAATACTGAGGCAAAATGTGGGGGGGTAGAAATAGTCAACTATTTAGTTTTAGGATCAACATGATGTCCCTGATACATTTGGAAGTGTGTAGAGAATTGCCTCATCTTTTATCTTTTCACCCAGATGTTTGATTTACTTTAGGCCTTCACAGGCCTGGTATAAGCTCCAAAGGATTTTCATCATATACCACAAATCCGCCATTTTAATCCTCTCTAGGTGAACACAGTTTGTCTGACTTCAAAAATAGTAACAAAGGCCACTAGCCTTGACCTGGGCCTTTGAGCAATTTTGAGATGCAACAAGCTTTGCTTACACACACACACACACACACACACACACAGCCTTTTTGAGCATGAATTTTGTATCTTTATATAGGGCAGTTCAAGATTCAGTCCAGTCTTGAAGCCTTAAAATTTTTTTGATATGAGTCATTCTCCTAGGCTGCCCAAATGGTTAAAAAAAAAAAAAAAAAAGGAAAGAAGAAATAAGAATGCCTTAAGTGTACATTTTATCTTTTAGCTGATCTGTATGCATACATATACATTTTTTATTGCAGAGTTATTGCTGCTTTGACCCTGTAAAGCTTTTACAGTTCAAAAAAACGTTTTTATGAATACTATCATTGAGAAAAGTCAATGATGTCTAGAACACTTCCACGTTATGGGGAGTCAGGTTTGAAATTCAGAGTAGTTTCCCATAGAAATCCTGTGGTCTGGGAAGGGAGACCCAAGTCCCCCCCACAAATCTACCATGTGAGTTTAACACAGTTCACTTACTAAGGGATATTGCTGAGCCTTTCATATGCTCAGATGCCAAGAGGGGGTGGAGTGCGCCATGTCTCCCAAGTTCGTCTGGCTGTTGAGCCCTTTTCGGAGAGCACCTTGCAGGGGTGGCATTCTACAGAACATACTTTAGGAAATGTTATACTTTAGGATCTCTAAGCCTGTTTCCATTACTTAGGATCTATGCTAAATTCAGCTTGTGATAGTTTCAGTTTCAGATGACAGGTAGATGAAAATAAAAAGACTATGGCAAAAGCAGAATCAGGGGGCAGGTTCCCATGAAAAAAGCTAGTATGTACCTACTGGCAAGCACCTGACCTCCTTGCATTCTAGACTTGCTGTCGTGACAGCAAGAACACATCTCATCCACTGCAGAACAGAAGGCTTCCCAAACCCCACCTTCCAGGCAGTGAAAACTTAGGGAGGAGGGAACAGCAGGGTAGAAAAGAAGGATGTGTCATGATCTCAGGTGGCCGAAGGGGACTATCATGCAGCTAGAATTGCCAAGGCACCAGATTTCAAAGCTGCAGTGATCATCCTTAGAAGGACACTAGGAGTAAGAAACAGATATAACCAAGGTAACTTGGAAACTGTCATCTTCTATATACTGTTCACTCAATTTAGATTTCTAATAGAATGAGATAGGTCAGGAAGATTTTAATGCATGCTCTGTGGGACTAACAGATTTATTGCAAAAATCTAGGAAGGACCTCATTCAGTAGTTTTAAAATATGAATTTTTTTTAAATAGCATTAAAAGCCATGACTGTCGCTAGACCTTTGCTAATCCTCATTTCTCTTTAAAGAATATGTTTGCAGTCTTTGATATTTTTAACCATGCTCATTTTTCTCTTATGTGCAACTCCCAAATTCTGTAATCTTCAGTGTGCAGCACGTGGTATGGCTCAGACGGGCTCAGGAATATGCAGGGAATGTTGAAGTCATGCTGCTGGTGGGTGGTGGGTGTGGGAGACGAAGCTCCCTGTTTCCTGTGCTTTCTTGGCTGAATGTGGGCCATGAAAGGAACTAAACTGGAGAAGCAGAAATGACGAAATGCAGGCAGACATGTTTGGTGGACTTTGTGACAGCAGCTGATAGTACTCTGCCATCAGGATGTACCAGGAAGCCAGAGCAGAGACGGAAAAGAACAGCAGAGTCAACCACACGTCCTGACCACTGAGACCTACACCAGCTTCTGACTTGGCCTCTGCTACGAGTTTCTTTCTCGGTTTTCTCATCTGTTTAATGAATTTAAAATTCCTGAGCCCCCTCTCCTTTTTTTTTCCTCCAGTTTTAGTGAGATATAATTAGCAGATGACATTGTATTCGTTTTAGGTACACAACATAATGATTTATGTGTATATTGTGAAGTGGTCACTACAATAGCTTTAGTTAATATCCATCAACCTCACAGTTGAACAGTTTTTCCCCTTGTGATGAGAACTTTAAGATCTACTCTCTTAGCAACTTTCAAATACACAATATGGTATTATGAACTGTAGTCACCATGCCACACATGACATCCCCAGAACTTGTAACTGCAAGTTTGTGCCTTTTTACCCTCTTCACCCATCCTGCCCATGTGCAAACTGTGAGGATATATATGCAGGGTAGCTCGAAGTCCCTGACGAGAAGTATTTATGACCGAAGCTGCCAAGGTTGTCCAACAAAGTGGGAACTTGGTGCAGAAAACGGTTGCTATTTTTGTTGATGCTAGCCGGCCTCTGACAACTAAATTAATACTCTACATGCAGCTGGGTGGTAGCTTTCGTTCTCTCTCTCATTTCCTCCACCTGACAGTGGCTCTTGATCTCTCTCATTCTGAGACTGTGAAAGGGCATGACAAGGGAAGAAAATGTTTAAGTGCATAGAGCCCGGAGGACAGACCTGTGTCACTTCCCTTGGCTTGTTTGCCATATGTAATAGCACCCAGTAGCAAAACCCAAGCCGTTCCCTGGCCCCTGAAACGCCTCAGCAAGTCAGTGTCAGGAAGGATCCTGCTCCCAAGAGCAGCGAGGGGCTCTAATTGAATAAAAAAAAAAAAAGCAGCATTGGCAGCCCAGCAGTTCTTACACACCACCACCTGTTCCCTCACCGAAAACAGGAATAAATTAACACTGTCAGGGTGCATTTATCTATATCTTTCAACTCCACTGGCATAAATCATTGAGAATTAACCAAGTCA